ATCGATAGATAGATAGATAGGTAGATAGATAGATAGACAGATAGATAGATAGATAGATAGTAATGGTTAGGGCAGACATCCATGTTGTGTTCCTGACCATAGAGGAAAAGCTCTCAGTTTTTCCCCATTGAGGATGATAATAGCTGTGGGTCTTTCGTATATGGCCTTTATAATGTTGACGTATGTTCCGTCTATACCTACTTTGTTAAGGGTTTTTATCAAGAATGGATGCTCCATTTTGCCAAATACTTTTTCTCCATCTATAGAGGGGATCATATGGTTCTTTTCAGTTCTTTTATTAACATGGTGCATCACGCTGATTGATTTGCAAATACTGAACCAACCCTGAAACCCAGGAATGTCACTTTATCATAATGAATAATTCTTTTAATGTACCATTGGACTGGATTTGTTAGTTATCTTGTTGAGAATTTTTGCATCCATGTTCATCCAGGATACTGGCCTGTAATTCTCCTTTTTAGTGAGGTCTTTGGTTTTGGAATCAAGGTAATACTGGCCTTGTAGAATGAGTTTAGTAGTTTTCCTTCCATTTGGTATTTTTTGGAACAGTTTGAAAAGAATAGGTATTAATTCTTCTTTAAATGTCTGGTAGAACTCCCCTGGGAAGCCACCTGGCCCTGGAATTTTGTTTGTTGGAGGATTTTTGATTACTGATTCAATTTCGTTGCTGGTTATGAGTCTGTTCAAATTTTCTATTTCTTCCTGTTTCAGTTTTGGTAGTTTGTATGTTTCTAGGAATTTGTCCATTTCTTCCAGATTGCCCAGATTGTTGGCATATAATTTTTCATTAATATTCTAAGTGTATTTCTGTGGTGTTGGCTGTGATCCCTCCTCTCTCACTTGTGATTTTATTCAGGTCCTTTCTCTTTTCTTTGTGATAAGGCTGGGGTTTATCACTTTTATTAATTCTTTTAAACAATTAATAGTTCAGTTCTTAGTTCCATTGCTCTGTTCTACTGGTTTTTTATTTCTATATGATTTATTTCTACTTTAATCTTTATTATTTCCCTTCTTCTGCTGGCTTTAAGCTTTATTTGCTGTTCTTTTTCTAGCTCCTTTAGACGTAAAGTCAGTTTGTGTATTTGAGCCTTTCCTTGCTTCTTGAGGTAGGCCTGTACTGCAATATACTTCCCTCTTAGGACTGCCTTTGCTGCATTCCAAAGGTTTTGGACTGCTGTATTTTCATTTGCATTTGCATCCATGTATTTTTTTAAATTCTTCTTTAATTTCCTGGTTAACCCATTCATTCCTTAGAATGCTCTTTAACCTCCATGTATTTGTGGCCTTTCCAAAATTTTTCTTATGGTTGAGTTCAAGTTTCATAGTGTTGTGATCTGAAAATATTCATGGTATGATTTCAATCTTTTTGTACTTGTTGAGGGATGATTTATGACCCAGTACATGATTTATTCTCCTGTGTTTTATCTCAGGCATGTGGCTGAGATAAAACTCCAAGTTTTAGGGAGCAACACTGATCCTCTGGGGGACAGTCTCGCCATGCTTTTGCTGTTTGCTGTTTTGTCCCAGAAAAGCAGTCGCACAACCAGGCAGCAGTTCAGAGTTTATGGTAAGTGCAGCAAAAGACAGCACCAAAGTTTGCTGCCCTAAGCCAGTGTCTTTATTCCTATGATGGAGAAAGTCCCATGTGTACTCAAAAAGAATGTGTATTCTGGGCACCTGGGTTGCTCAGTCTGTTAAGCGCAAGTCCCGAGTCAGGGGGTCCCTGCTCAGCAGGAGGTCTGCTTCTCCCTCTGCTCTTTCCCTTTGCTCCTTCCCCTGCTCATGCGCGCACACTCTCACAAAAATAAATAAAATCTTAAGAAAAGAAAAATGAATGTGTATGCTGCCTTAGGATGAAATGTTCTGAATATATCTGTTAAGTCCATCTGGTTCAGTGTGTCATTCAAAGCCATTGTTTCCTTGTTGATTTTCTGCTTAAATGATCTATCCATTGCTGTAAATGGGATGTTAAAGTCCCCTACTATTACTGTATTATTATCAATGAGTTTCTTCATGTTTGCTATTAGTTGATTTATATATTTGGGTGTTCCCAAGTTGGGGGTATAAATATTTACCTTTGTTCGATCTTCTTGGTGGATAGACCCCTTAATTATGATACAGTGCCCTTCTTCATCACTTGTTACAGTCTTTGGTTTAAAATTTAGTTTGTATGATGTAAGTACAGCTACTCCAGCTTTCTTTTGACATCCATTAGCATGAGAGATGGTTCTCCATCCCCTCACTTTTAATCTGGAGGTGCTTTTAGGTCTAAAATGAGTCTCTTGTAGGCAGCATATAGATATGTCTTTCAGCATATAGATGTGTCTTTTTTTATCCATTCTGATACCGTATGTCTTTTGATTGGAGCATTTAGTCCGTTTACATTCAGAGTAACTACTGATAGATATAATTTAATGCCACTGTGTTACCTGTAAAGTGGGTGTTTCTGTGCCTTTCTAGTCCTTGTTGCTTTTGGTCTTTTTTCCCCCACTCAGAGTCCCCTTTAATATTTCTTACAGTGCTGGTTTAGTGGTCACGAATTCATTTAGTTTTTGTCTGTCTGGGAAACCCATTATTGCTCCTTCTATTCTGAATGACAGCCTTGCTGGATAAAGTAGTCCTGGCTGCATATTTTTCCCATTCAGCATGCTGAATATATCATGTCACTCCCTTCTGGCCTGCCAAGTTTCTGTGGACAGATCTGTTGCGAATCTGATCTGTCTTCCCTTGTAGGTTAAGGACTTTTTTTTACCTTGCTGCTTTCAGGATTCTTTCCTGTATTTGTGAATTTGACTATAATATTCCTTGGCGATGGTCAGCTTTTCTTGGATTTAATGGGAGTTCTCTGTGCTTCTTGGATTTTGATGTCGGTTTCCTACCCCAGATTAGAGAAGTTTTCAGCTATAATTTGCTTGGCTAAGTCTTCTGCCCCCTTTTCTCTCTCTTCTTCTTCTGGGACTCCTATGATACAAATGCTACTAAGCTTTAAGGAGTCGATGAGTTCCGTAAGTCTACATTTGTAATCCAGTATCTTTTTTCCCACTTCTTTTCATGTCACTGATTTTTGTGATTGTTGGGAAAGCCTGTTATATTACTGATCTTGAGAGGAATGGCTATATTAAGAGGAGGTTAAAAAAAAAAAAAAAAGGCAGCTAGACTCTATTTCTCCTAGAGCTGAAGCTTTAAAGCACTCTCTTCAGTAGACTTAGTGCTGTGTGGGGTTCGTGCTGGTCTTCTGCGGGAGTGGCGTGCTGTGCTGATTCTTCAGGCAGACTTGTCCTAGTGAAGATGCACCTGCAGGGTGCATGGGGGCAGGGTTTGGTGTAAGCAGCTCTGGCCTCCACTGGGTGGTGGTATTTTGCTCACTCTAGTAGGTCAGTGCTGAAGTGGGGGAGGAATGGCATCAGCCCCCTCTCTTGTACCTAGAACCAGCGCAGGGGAGTGAGTTCGCCCCTGCCACTCTTCTGTGAGGAAGCCCTCATAGAAGAGCAAACAATCACCCTTCTTGTGTCCCCAGTTTCTGTCAGATTCCTGCCTTCACCCTGTTTGTGTCCAAGCTGTATGCCTGCCAGGGGGCACAGTACTCCTGTGTTTTATCTCAGGCACGTGCTGAGATAAAACTCCAAGTTTTAGGGAGCAACACTGATCCTCTGGGGGACAGTCTTGCCATGCTTTTGCTGTTTGCTGTTTTGTCCCAGAAAAGCAGTCGCACAACCAGGCAGCAGTTCAGAGTTTATGGTAAGTGCAGCAAAAAGCCAGCACCAAAGTTTGCTGCCCTAAGCCAGTGTCTTTATTCCTATGATAGGAAACAAGGCAGTACCAGTTCTTTTGTCCCTGGACAGGCTGTGCCACCACTCCCAAATGCACTCCAAGAGAGGGAATTGTTTCTCCCTGTGCGACCCAGGGGATCCTCAGACCATGCTGCCCACTCCCAGGTCTCTGTCCTCCTTCCCCACAGGAGCACGACTAAGCCTGCCAGGCACAAACGTGGTGATGGCAAGGCCTTCTAAAACTTCAGACTTTGTGATCCACTGCTTATAATAACTTGCAGTAGTCAGTCCCTCTCCTTTTCCCAGTCAATAGTTTTGAGGAAAAGTTTTTCTAGTGTAATCCCCTGTATACTGCTTTTCTCTCTCCCTCCCTCTCTCTCTCTCTCTCTCTCCCTTTCCTCTCTCCATAATCAGGGCTCCCTCTCCTACAGTTCTTTTCTCCCCCAAATCAACTCTCTGCAGCTTCTATGTACCACAATGTAACTGTTTCTCTATCCTAGTTCTGCAGCTTGCTCCCTCAAACTGACTTCTTGGGCATTTAAAATGATTTGATATTTACCTAGCTTGATACTACTAATGTACTCGAGAGATGAGGCAAGCATAGGGTCCCCTTACTTCTCCAGCATCTCAACTCCTCCCCATGAATGAATAAAAATTATAATTTAGGCCCTAAATCTCCCAGAAGTCTCTAGGATTTTTACTTTACTGTCAACAGAAAATATTGACTTACTCTATGAGGACACATGAACTATAATAAAAGACATACAAACGCATGCATTCTAGTTAGATAGCCTATGTTCTCATTAAGTCAATAATACCTACATAAGTATAAGACTTAAAAAGTTTTAATTATTCTCCCTCTCCCACTCCCCCTGCTTGTGTTCCCTCTCTCGCTGTGTCTCTTTGTGTTAAATCAATCAATCAATCAATCAATCAATCTTAAAAAAAAAAAAAGGTGGCGCCTAGCTGGCTCAGTCATTAAGCATCTGCCTTCGGCTCAGGTCATGATCCCAGGGTCCTGGGATCAAGCCCCGCATCGGGCTCCCTGCTCCGCGGGAAGCCTGCTTCTCCCTCGCCTGCTTCTCCCTCTCCTGCTCCCCCTGCTTGTGTTCCCTCTCTCGCTGTGTCTCTCTCTGTCAAATAAATAAATAAAATATCTTTAAAAAAACAAAAAGTTTTAATTATACAACTAACTGATTCATCATATTACAAATGTACTAAAGGTTGGCTTCAACCTTCATATTCAGCCAAAATTTGCCATATGGTTTCAGCTTAGGTTTTGGGAAGCCTAAACAGCTAAATACCTACTGTAACATCATTTATGGCACCTCTAAAATTATGCATGATTAAAGAATATATCATTTCATCAGATCTCATTCTAATTAGCATGACGAAAAATATACAAAAAAGCTTATCATATCCAATCATCTACTTTCAAAAATAAGTAAGCACTCTATAAACAGAACTTGAAATGAAGATCTCCTTAATTTATACAATAAAGTACATAAAAATGTATTAAATCAGTATATGTTAAAATATAAAATTTTAAGTATAAATGTATATTATCGCAAAGGTAGAATGATGTAGAGGTGAAAACTATTAGTTTTACATACAAAAACAATTAAGAACAGTCAAGTAATTAAATACAAAACAGACTAACACTATAACTAATAGAGTGCATTAGCTAGCTAATTTTGGGAAAAAATATACCCTTTGTGTCAACAAATGGTCATAAAATTTTAAGAAAACAAAATAATTAAATGATAACTCTGATACCCGCAGAAGTGTTTAGGGTATAAGCATTCACAAAACTAAGCAAAATCTTTTAAGTTATTTATTTCTTTTCAAGCCATGGTCTATCAGGAAAAGTTCTATGTTTAAGAATATATCTTCTGACCATGAATTAAAAAGTGTCAACTTAGGCTCAATACTTCATAAGGAGGAAAAACTCTAAAAATCACATAAAACAATGTTTATGAGAAATCACCTTCTACCTGACATATTAAAATATACTAAGGATTAGAAAAAGAAATTAGAGAAAAATGAAATAACCCCCCAAAATCTTGCTCATTCACTGAAAAGTAAGCATCTTTCAGTGCTGCAAACATGAATGAGAGTGCCTAAGAGTACTGTGGTAGCACGTAGGGCTAACAAATATTGTTATTATACTATGCGAGCATTTACATTTTAAATACTATCAATAATTACATTTTTATATAAAATTTCAGATTTCCTCTTGTATCCCAGATGTAAATTTGTATGAGATTGATAATTTTGATCATCTACTCATTTACTCTCAACAACCTTATAAAATACTACAAGCACTATTTTATATGAGAAAATATACTCAGAGGGTAAGTACACTACTAAGGCTACATGACAAATTTAAAAAAACAAAAGGCTTATTATATATCTCACTTATGAAATTTCACACTCTAGAATCTGTTTCTTCTATTTCATAGTTACTATATCAATAAGAGAGAAACCAGCAGCAATTTCACTATTGCACAATTCCTACCCACTTTTGAGCCTATCTTTACAACAGTGGGAATAAATGTGAAGCCAGCAATGAAGAATGAGGAAGTTTAAGAATGCATACAAAATGTACGCTTCTTAAGAACAAGGAAGACATACAATTTTACAGATTTTAAATACAGGTACAATCAATTTCTCCTTTTTGCAATACTGGAAAATATACAGACATATACAAACATAATCATATGTCATGGGGGAAATATATAAAAGAGAAAACAAGAAGCAAACATTTTATAGTAAATCAGAGAGAGAAGAACCTATTTTTTAAATTGTTCCAATTTGGAAGATGTGAGTGATGAATGCACAAAGGATTTTAATAAATGGTAGGGAAGATAGGTGGTTTGTCATTTCCTCTTGTAAACATATATTATGTAGAATGATATACTTTAATTCATAATGCTTGCCTCAAAGCCTAAAAAATTTCACCCAGATTAGGAAAAATTACTAAAAGCTAAATTAAAATTCTAACTTTTCATTCAAAATAAACTCTCTCTCAAATACCATCTTAACATTATTTCTTAAGGTAATTAAAAACTTACTAAAAATCATCTCTAGGATATTCTATTTACTTTCTTCTTCAAATAAAAATAGCCACTTCCACAAACATACGCAAATGTTCAATTATCTAAATAGGCCATTAACATGACTACTATATTTCTATTATTAAGCCTACACAGTGACTTACCAATTCTTGGGGTAGCAGTGCTCTGTTCTGCAGGAGATGAAGTACTAAAAGCAGAAATTGGAATTTTCATCTGTATAGGACCTCGATTATTTGATGGACTATACAGTCCTGATGGGCCTACTGTAGGTAAAGAAGTCCTTGTGGCTTGTACAATAGAGTGTGCTGTTGGAACAGCCTGTACAGCAAGCGTTGTTCCTAATGGTGCAGCATTGGCAGGAGAGTTCCTTTGAATACTAGGACTGGCCACAGAAGGAACATTGTTTGTTTTAGTGGGGTTTGGCAAGGCTGGCAAGGATACTGGATTTTTGGTAAGACCACTCACTGTAGGTGGGCTTTGTACAGAAATGAACTCAACGTTGCCAGATGGTTGATTGGTCACTAAAGTCCCTGGATGGCTCTGTAGGAGTTGAGGCTGGGAGGATACCGCAACAGGTACATGCAAAATCACTGGTAAAGGTTGTAAAGAGATTGTAGGTTGGGGATTTCCACTAGGCACCTGAGTAGTAGCAACTACTGTAGCTGTGTTGGGTGCAGGAAGAACTGACGTTGCTGTCAGAGAACCAGAAGTCACTGGAGTCTGCAATTTAGGTTGACTACTGACAACTGTTGGAGGAGTGACAAGACTGGTTGAAGATACTATAAAAAGAAAAAAGAAGTCTCAGTTTATATGGCTGTCTTCATTTATCAGCTAGCATAATACAACACGATAAAATTTAATGAACTGCAGTAGATACAGTAAAGTCTTTTATAATAAAGTTTCTTCCAGATTTAAGTTCTGGAAATTCTTGGAATTAAATTTATAGAAGCATTTTTGCATCTATGTTTGGCACACAGCTTATGATTAATATGGAAGACTGCTATCTCAGTATCAAAACAGTGTCTGAAAATTATTATCACTTCAGAGTAACTGGAAAAATGACTGAAAAACACTGAAAACTTGGTAAAATTGTACAGATATTTTTGAAACTACAGTAAAAACATAAATGCCTAGGACACTGACAATATATAAACTCAAACAGACAATCTAGTAAGAGTCATCACTATTTTTTAAAAAGATTTTATCTATTTATTTGAGAGAGAAAGAGAGCATACACAGAGGGAGAGGGTGAGGGAGAAGCAAGTTCCCCGCTGAGCAGGGAGCCCGATGTGGGACTCGATCCCAGCACTCTGGGATCATGACCTGAGCCGAAGGCAGTTGCTTAACCGACTGAGCCACCCAAGTGCCCAAGAGTCATCACTATTAATGAATAAAATAAGCTTCATCATGGTATTTTATCACTTGGACCATGTGTGAAACCTCTATCTGTGGATCAAGTTTTACTGAATTACCTGGCAGGAGCTAGTATGGGGAGGCTCCCTCTACTGACACTCTAGTGACATTACAGGATTTGGGAAATAAAAGAGTAAAGATGAATTAAGAAATAAGGGAATTGATACCAAAGACCAGAAAAAATCAAAATGCTGGTTACTGGCATTTTACAATAATTTTGGTTTAACTATTTGTTTATTCTCAATTAAATGGGTTTCAAACTGATGACCAAGTGTCTTTCTCACTGATCTGTACTCTTTCCAAACTCAAAGGCACACCAGAGCAGCCAATCTTCGGTGTTATCCGGGGCGGGGGGAGGAGGGGAACGACACCTGGGATTACAGAGACCCTCTCAGGGAGTTGGCAATGTCAAAACTATTTTTATAACAATAATAAGACATTACTTGACTTTTTCACCATGTAAATATTTGCACTGATAGAACAAAAGCAATGGTGAGTAAAACTTGATGCCTCAGCACAAAACTCAAGGCAGTGAGTGGTACCCTAACTCTCACTGCATTCTTTACCACCACATATTTACAGTAAAAGACGAAGTGAACTTCACTGAAGAATGTCCATGATTTAGTAGTAAGAACGATTTATTTTATTAAATCTCAACCCTTGAATACAGGTCTTCTGAATATGCTGTGTGAAGAAATAGGAAATACACAGTAAGCATTACCACTGAATGCTGAAGTAGCATGGCTGGCTCAGGGAAAAGAGCTTATATTATTATTGTCTAAGTTATAAAGCTAATAGCCTTTTTCATGGAAGACCATTTTTACTTGAAAGAACGATTTATAAACATACTGTGATTATTCACATTTGGGTATTTGACTTATCTTTTCTTGAAAATAAACCTTGGCAGTCAGTTCAAAGAAAATAACTGCAATGGTACAGTTTACTGAGTTTATTGGCAATGATACATTTGAGTTTGAAAACAAAAATTAGAACTTTGGAAAAACTTGTATATGCCACTGAGAGCATGACAACTTCCCAAATCTTCAAAGACTTTTCTGACACCAATCGACAGTGAAATAAATAAATGTGATTTTTTAAAAGTTTATTAATGAGATATGTCAACAACTGAAGTCTTATATAACTCAGTGAATATTTTCCAAATGACTGATGAATGATATTAGCAAAAGATCCAACCAAGTACAAGACAGACAAATGGATTTTTTTTTTTTAAAGAATGGGGGCCGGTGGGGGTGGGGCAGCCAGAGATGGGAGAGAGAATCCCAAGCAGACTCCATACTGGGCATGGAGTCCAACCAAAACCAAGAGTCAGACGCTTAACTGACTACACTACCCAGGTGCCCCCAGACAAATGGATTTAATGAAAAAGTCAGAAAAATTCATTGTTATGGTTTCACATTCCATTTTTCAACTAACCTTTAAAAAACTGCTGCCTGTGTCAAAGAAAAATATCCACAAATACTCTAAAAGGGCTAGCCCTTTTGTAACTATCTATTTTTATGAGGCTGAATTTTCTTCACATATTTCAATCAAAACAACAAATTGCAATAGACAAATGCAGAGATAGATATAAGAATCTAGCTATCTTCAACTGTCTTAATGTTTTAAGTGTAAGAGAATTTGTAAAACTGTAAACAATAACTCTTCTCACTAATTGTTTTAAGCCTGAAAAAGTTATTTTTCATTAAAACATGTTATTTGTGTTACATGATATAGGTTTGTTATTATTTTTAAATAGACATTTAAGAATTTTTATGTTTTGGTGCCTGGGTGGCTCAGTTGGTTAAGCGACTGCCTTCGGCTCAGGTCATGATCCTGGAGTCCTGGGATCAAGTCCCACGTCGGGCTCCCTGCTTAGCAGGGAGTCTGCTTCTCCCTCTGACCCTACCCCCTCTTGGGCTCTCTCTCTCACTCTCTCTGTCTCGTAAATAAATAAATAAAACCTTTAAAAAAAATAAAAATTTTTATGTTTTAATTTCTACTACAGTAAAAATCAAATCATATAAGCCACATTTACATTATTATTATAATATTATACCAGGATACAGAAACCAGAAAAATGTGAGAATCCCTAGACTTGAATTTCTATATTTGCATTCATATCTATAATCCTGATTTTTTAATAAATTTTTGTACTTATTTAATTTCAGATAAATACCTCATTCCCTTAGATCATTTCAATTTCAAAAAGATGTAATTAAAGAGAACCAAAGCCTTCAATTCCTAAGAAAATGAGTTTTCTTTAAAAAATTAAAAATATATTACCTGTATTCACAGGGGTTGGAAAGGTTGGTGGTGCACTCTCACTTACATTCCTTTTAGACTCCAGCATCTGTCTCACTGTGCCTGCATTTCTACAAAATATATATATACACACAAACAGTCAATGAAAATGCCATTCAGGAGGACATCAATTAATGAACAGAGAAAGCAGTGGCCAATAGGGGAAAGCATGGCAAGACCTGGGTACTGTAGCACTGAAGTGCAAATGACTGCAGAGGTAATGACGGCACACAGACCTCAGCATGCCAGGGTCTATGGAATTAAGGAAGAGTCTTTCTCTTATATCATAATGTCCTCAACACTTTAACAAAAAGCCAAACGTACATCCTAATATCTGTAGACATTAGTTTTTATCACCCTGATCAAAGCATTTCTCTATTACTTTGAAAGAATACTATTTAGTACAAGTGGTTAAAGAAGTCTTCAGTGACCAAAGAAAGCCTCAAAATTAATTAGCAAAATCAGTAACCACAAATGAGCAATTATAACAAAACAAAAAAGAAGAAAATCTAAATCCAGTATACCACTTATCTCTACATAAACAAATAGGAATACATTGCAAAATTTTCCTGTAAAATAAAATCAGAACCTTGTTCTGTTATTTAAAAACTTGACAAACAGACTGTTTACAATTCTCACCTGTACGGCACATTGTTATTATTGCTGTTGACGTCAACTACAGACTTCCCTGGTGATACTGGTGGGTTCGGTGGATTCTGGGGGAGAAAAAATACCCAGGTAAAATAAGACATTACCTCGACCTATTGTGATCATTTCAAACGTATCTGAATGTTGAATTACTATGTTGTACACCTGAAACCAATACTATAAAAAAAATAAAACCTTAAATGTTTTCTCAATATATTATCTCTTTACTTCCAGAAAATACGACTAGATGAGAAAAGAATTTGAATCCTGGCATTGCCACTTAAACAAATTACTTAATCCATTGCAACAACTGCTTACTATGTGAAAGATTAATATAATAATTCCTATACCTCAGTTTTTTAAGATGAATAAAGAATGTGAAAATGGTTTACATGCTGTAAGGGTTTGATAAATATTAATATGAATCTAAAGAATAACTAGACATACTCATTCAATATCAAGTGAATGCCTACTACATACCACACATAGCAGGCACCAAATTACCAAGAGAAACTCAAAAAAGTACATATTTATTCTTTCCCAGAAATAGTTGATTACCAACAAAGTGGTGCCTAAGGTCACAAATCAAAATTCTCAAATCAAAATTATTTTTTCAATTATTGCTTAAAAAATAACTACTTGCCACTATGTGACTTATAACATCATAAAGGGATATCTCAATTCTAAACTTACTTAAGTATCAACTAATTTCAGCCTTTTCCCCCCAAAAAACAGGGAATATAGAAATGGGATTCTCATACATATTAATTACCATTACTTGGGCATCAGTCAATAATTACTCTATCATCATTTATTTCTTAAATTAAGAAATATAAATAATTCTGCTTAAGGTTTAATTAATATAATAAATATTAAAACAAAGGTGGTAGGTGCTTAAGATCACATCAAGTAGATGCTACTAATCACTCTTTTCAATCAACAAATCTTGATGCTTTTTATAGGATAAAAGAATAATTTTAACCAAGAAGTATAGCATTATACTAGTTACACATGTAGAGAAGAGACAAAATTACAATGACTTGCTCTAAAGGTGCTTAAAATCTGCCTGTAGACAAAAACATATGAAACAAATAGAAAAGCAAATTAAAGTAACAGTGCAGTGCCAACGGAAAAAGTTTTTTAAAAAGTTTCTGAGGAAAATGCATCTTCATATAGGTTAGTACATTCAAAATAGCTAAGATGAAGATAAAGAACATTTCTGGGAGAAAAACAGAAAAAGAAGGAGTAAAAGCATAATAAATAAACAAATAAAACTGGTTTAGAACATGGTATGGTCACTGGATGGAAGACCTTAAGTACTACAGTGTGGTGACACCAGCAGATGGCAGAATAGGAAGAATAGGAAGATCACTCAAGGGATGGATCAAATTTCCTTTGTCAGAATTCCAGAAGCCAGTCAAGAGGTTATAGGACCCCAAGCAACAGCAAGGCAAAGAAGAGGTTTTTTGTAATGGGTAGGAAAGTCTGTTGCACTTATCCACCATATCCTAAACCCCTCCTGATACAGTATGGCACAATCAAAATTCCTCACTGTGGCTTCTCCTTCAAAAAGGAAAGAGAAGAGTGGAACTTTCATCCAATATTCTGGCTTTTCAGGGGGCTGTCCAAGGCACTGGTTTCTGTTTCACCTGACTTGGAGGGAGTAGCACATGTTGAATATCTAGGGGCCAGATGAGAACAAAGGTGAGCCTATTAGCTTGGTACAGCACCAGAAAAATCATACTAACAGACAGCAGGGAGACCTCCAAAAAGCATGGTTTATAAAACCAAAACTGTAATATGGAAGACAGATGTCAGTGGGGAGCTTCTGAGTACAAAGAGACAAGCCTCTTCAGATAAAAGATTATACACACAAGTTCAGAGAAAATGCATTTCTAGAAAAGGTTTGAGAGGTTCCCAGAGTATATACCTGAACTGAATAGTAAAGGTCTTCCTCTGTACAAAGATACTGTGAAAAGACAGGGAAAGGTGGTTGTTTTTTCAAATGCCCAAATTTCAACATAAGAAAACTAAACATACAAGGAAACAGGGAAATACAGCCCCAACAAAGAAATAAATCTCCAGAAATTGACCCTAAAGAAATGGGGATCTGTGAATTACCCATTAAAGAATTCAAAATAACCAACATCAAGATGTTCAATGAGGTAAAAGAGAACACAGAAAGAAAACTAAATGAAATTAGAAAAATTGTGCATGAAGAAATAAAAATATTAACAAAGAAACAGAGGCTCTAAAATAGAACCAAAGGAATTCTGGATCTGAAGAATAAATGAATTGAAAAATTCACTACATGGGATCAACACCAGACTATATCAAGCAGAATACTTAGTGGACTTGATGACAAATCATTTGAAATTATCAAGTTATAGGAGCAAAAGAAAAAAGTGAACAGAGCCCAAGGGATTTATGAGGCACCACTGAAAAGACCAATACATGAATATGGGAATCTAATAGAAGAGAGAGAAAATGAGCAGAAAGCCTCTGCAAATAATGGCCCCAAACTCCCCAAATTTGAGGGTTCTCAAATTCAAAACGCTCGGAAACCTCCAACTAGAATAACTCAAGAGATCTATACTGAAAAGCACAGACAAGGTATCAAAAGTCACAGATAAAGAATTCTGAAAGTAACAAGAGAAAAGCAACCCATTACATTCAAGGTAGCTCCCACAAGATTATCAGTAGTTTTCTCAGCAGATACCTAGAAGGCTACAAGGGAGTGGGATGATAGATTCTAAGTACAGAACGAGAAAACTACCAAGCAAAAATAACTATATCCAGCAAACTTTTATTCAAAAATGAAGGCAAAATTAAGATGTTCCTAGATAACAAAAAACCTGGGGAAGTTTATCACTATTAGATCTGCAATACAATACAAAAAAAAATTGCTAAAACGAGTCAATCAAGTGAAAATGAAAGGATACAAGATGGCAACTTGAAAGCATACAAACAGATGAAATGCTCTGGTAAAGGTAAATACACAAACAAATACAGAGTCCTGCATTACTATAAAGTGGGTGCATTAAATTACATTTAATTATATACAATTTAAGCATAAAAATAACTGTAAATTTATGTTAAAGGATACAGAATGTAAAAAGATATAATAAAACTAATAACCAAGTTGTGGGAGCAAGGTATAAAGAGTGAGGTTCTTAAATGTGATTGAAGTTAAGTTGTTACCAGTTTAAAACAGTTTACATAATCCCCATGGTAACCACAGATACAATACCTATAGAAGATACACAAAAGGAAATAAGAAAGGAATTAATGATTGTCACTACAATAAATAAATAAATAAATACACAGGAAGCAAGCCAGCAAAAAAAGAAAAAGACAAAACAGCTCCAAGACAAATAATTAACAAAATGTTAATGATTAGTCCCTCCCTACAGAAATTACTTTAAATCCCAATGGATTAAATTCTCATAGAAAGACATACATTCACTTAATGAATAAAACAAGATCCTGTTACAGGATGTTAACAATGAACACACTTTAGATCTAAAGACACACACAGGCCAAAATTATAAGGATGAGAAAAGATACTCCATTCAAATGGTAACCAAAAGGGAGAAGGAGTGACCATACTTAAAATAAGACAAAATAGAGCTGAAGTAAAAAACTGTCACAAGAGACAAAAAGGACATTATATAATGACAAAAGCATCAACTGACCAAATAAAATATTTATACATTTATATGCACATAACATCAAAGCCACCAAATGATGGAACATTGACAGAATTGAAAAAGAAACAGACAGCCAACACAGTATAGGAGTCTTCAGTCCATCATTCTATATAATAGGTAGATGATCCAGAGAAAAATTCAGTAAGGAAATAGCAAAACTGAACTAATACCAAAGACCAAATGGACCAGACGTTTGTAGAAATTTTTACCCAACAGCAGAAAAATACAAATTTTTCTCAAGTGCACACAGAACATTCTCCAGGATAGATCACATATTAGGTCACAAAATGAGCCTTACCAAATTTATAAAGATGAAACTCATACCAAGTATCTTTTCCAACCACAATAGACCAAAAGTAGAAATCAACAGCAGAAGGAAAAATGGAAAAGTCACATATATGTAGAAATTAAAACACACTTATAAAATCTAATGGATAAAAGAAGAAATCACAAGAGATATTAGAAAATATCTTAAGACAAATAAAAACAAAAACACAACATACGAAATTTATGGGAAAATTTATGCAGCAAATATAGTACTAAGAGGAAAATTTATAGTGGTAAATGCTTCCATTAAAAAAGAAGGAAGATCTCAAATCAACAACCCAACTTTACACTTCAAAGGACTAGAAAAAAGAAAAAGTAAGCTCAGGAGAGGGAAGGAAATAATAAAGACTATAGCAGAAATAAAACAGAGAAACAAAGTCAATAGGAAAAAAAAATCAGCTAAGAGTTGGCCTTTTAAAGGATCAACAAATTGGCAAAACTTTACCTAGATTATCTGTGAAAAAACAAAGAAGACATAAATAAATAAAATAAATGGAAGAGGAGGCATTACAACTGATGCCACAGAATAAAAAAGGGATCACAAAAGACTACCATAAACAATTATAAGGCAACAAATTGGATAACCTAGAAAAAATGGGACAGCTTTCCAGAAATATACAACCAAGAGTGAATCAAGAAGAAAATAAAAATTTGAACAAGATCTATACAGGTAGTGAGACTGAATCATGAATCAAAAACATTCTAATAACAAAAAACACCAAGGACCAGATGGCTTCAACGCAGAATTCTACCAGACACTTAAAGAAGAATGAACAACAGTCTTCCAACTCTTCCAAACAACTGATGGGGAGGAGGAAAAACTTTCAAACACATTTTATGAAGCCAGTATATCCTGATACCAAAACCAGACACCACAATAAAAGAAAACTACAGCCCAATATCCCTGATGAACATAGATACAAAAATCCTCAACGAAATATTAGCAAACCAAATTCACCAGCACACTGAAAGAATTATACAACATGACCAGGTGAGATTTATCCCTGGAACGCAAGGAGAGCTTGACATGA